TAAAAAAAAAAACACACATTCATAATGTCAAATGTACGCTGAACTTTTACTTCACATAAAGTAGCACAGAATAGTCATCGTCTCCTTTAGCATTCTGAGCCCTTGAGGTTTACAGCTGCAGATATCATTCGTCTCTATTCATCTCTCTGTCTGGCCTTCTCTTCACAATTTGTGACACCAGTTGTTTGCAGGTCTGGCTAGACATTAAGTCTCGCACTTCTTTTTTGTCTGCCTCGTGGTCTACGCCCATTCCTCTCTCTGGTTATACATTTTTTTACTTCTCTGTCATTTGACATTCTTTCAATATGTCCCAACCATTTTAGTCTGTTAGCTCTCATGATGCCAGTGATTAATGGTGATTTAAACAGATTATGTGTTACGTTGTTGCTTCTCACTCTCCATTTCCCGCTGTTAGCATCTTTGATGGGTCCAAAGATGTGTCGTAAGACTGTTTTCGAAAACCTGTAATAAGGCCTCATCTCTTTTATTTCTGCTTCAAGTTTAAGAGCCATATAAAACGACTGGTCTTATCAACGTTTTATATATTTTGATCTTGGTGTTGCGAGACAGACACTTTGACTTTAGCAGATGTTGAAGGGCATAGTATACTTTATTTCTGGATTGTATTTCTTCTCTCAGCATGCTGGAGCAGTTGAGGTTTGCACCCAAGTAATTATGTTTCCGTTCGTTTGATTTTCATATTATCGACTTGGATGTGGCCGGAGTATATATTCTTTCTATGTCTAGTAAGTATTCGTACAGAATAGTAAACATTTAAAAACATTTTATGTTTCGCATCCTTCAGTCAGTCTGTGGTAACTAATAACTAGGAATGAAAGAATCCTAAGTATTATAACAAGTAACTAAACTTGGAAAGCTGCATTAGCTTTCAGCAAAACCAATCGTTCCATGTTGTCAGCATTAAGGCCTTTTATGCAGAAGCGGGTATAATGTAACTACTATTCGTATTCGGCCAGATCGCAACTATTCGGCCGAATACCGAATAGTCAATAGGTCCACTATTCGGCCCCGAAGCGATTACGAAGCGAATATTCGGTACAGCCCTACTATAAACACCTGAGCACAATCTGCAAACCTGAGCACAATCTGCAAACCTGAGCACAATCTGCAAACCTGAGCACAATCTGCAAACTGCCCACTCAACCTGCAATTTCGATTTAAAAAAGAGAGCAAAGTATGTAAAGCCAGCCATAGGGAACCATGAAGGAATTGCTGCTGACATACGAGTTCATAGAGGCAACCCACCTGAAGATCTGACATGAGCAGACGAAACCAAACTAAAACAAGTACCTGGTACCCATTCAAGGATGGGTTGCCCTCAGAGCCAAGGTCATTTATGAAATGGATCCACATGCGAGCGTCCAGTCACGTCCACGGAGGCTCCTAGTGTCTTGATAGCGGAACGGAATTTGCTACGTTGTTGTGGCACCTTTACCCACGACTGTGTTCCACTGTGCGATATAGAAAATACGGGGGAGACACAACACTCAACAATAGATGACGCTCCTGGCCGGGCAGTTTTGCACAGGCCATGTGTTGTCTATGGAGCCAGATCTTCCTCTCGCCATGCTTCGCTAACTCCAAAAGAAATCAAGCATGCTATAGAAGCTACCAGATCAGATTAGCACTGCTCCATCTGTCCGTCTGTCGGATCTTCCATCTGAGGCCAGCCGCTGCTAACCAACGTCTGGTATCTTCTTCTTCTTCTTCACTTCCTCTTTTACCGCTGTGGGTGTCGAGGGAGATATAAGGTTCTGTTTCTAGCTCTTCTGGCTGCCTCGACCATAGGCAGATAGTGCTGTTGTAGAGTTTCTCTGATGTTATCCTTCCATCTTGTTCTTGGTCTACCCCGTGCTCTACGTCCTTCTTCTCTTTCCATGTATGCTTTGTATGGTATGGTGTCACAAGGCATTCTCTCTAAGTGGGCAAACCATTTCACTTACGTCTGGTGTGCCTTTTTAAAATGCTGCTTGTCCTCAACCAAGGATCAGGCTTGTATCCTCCCAAGTGCGCTGTATATGTAAATGTGGCTGAGGAACATGACATGTATCTACTCAGGAATGTCTGTCAATCCTATAAAAAGAACATGCAACTTTGGAAAACACTGACATCTCACCTGATTGCTGTCTCAGTCTGGTGAATGCTGTCATTGATACTGTCTGGTCCCACGAGTATGCTACTGTCGGGGTCATTACTGTCGGCTGTCATCTTGTGTAATCGTGCCAGAATCTGGGTCAAGTCATCCTTGATGAGTTGTCTGGCCTCTGAGACAGGGACACATCTATGGCACCTTTTATGGGCTGTGGCCAGACACTGGGAGTTTAGCAAATATAAACTTTTGGAATAATGTAGGTTTGCTTCATCGTCATCATTATCTACAGCCTCTACATCATCTGATCATCTACATAGTCATCATCATCATTGTTGTACACTCATTCTGTCGGAGAAGTTTTGTTAGCAGATGGGACAATTTCTAGGTTGCATGATAATTATGACGTTAATGATATTGTTGTTGTTTGTTAGTCTGCATTCACCGGCTGTAAACTCATGCGGAAAGTCTTGGTTGTTCGGTCATTTCTCGACTTTGGCTTCGTTCGATAATGTAAGTATTACATGCACCTCGGCTTCACAGTTGAGGCTTATTTGTGTGCCGACTTGTGGTTCGCTGCCTCTCATGGTTCAACCCTTCACAAATTGTGTGCATATCGTTGCTCTCCGCCTGTCATGAATGAACCCGTTCACAGATTGGGTGCATACTTGTAGCTCTCCGCCTGTCATGAATGAACCCGTTCACAGATTGTGTGCATATCGTTGCTCTCCGCCTGTCATGAATGAACCCATTCACAGATTGTGTGCATATCGTTGCTCTCCGCCTGTCATGAATGAACCCGTTCACAGATTGTGTGCATATCGTTGCTCTCCGCCTGTCATGAATGAACCCGTTCACAGATTGTGTACATATCGTTGCTCTCCGCCTGTCATGAATGAACCCGTTCACAGATTGGGTGCATACTTGTAGCTCTCCGCCTCTCATGAATGAACCCATTCACAGATTGTGTGCATATTGTAGCTCTCCGCCTCTCATGAATGAACCCGTTCACAGATTGGGTGCATACTTGTAGCTCTCCGCCTCTCATGAATGAACCCATTCACAGATTGTGTGCATACTTGTAGCTCTCCGCCTCTCATGAATGAACCCATTCACAGATTGTGTGTCGAAATCCCTATATAACGTAGTGATAATGAAGAGATGATGGAGATGATGATGTCAACATATGGTGATGGTAATAAAGACAATTATATGTATGACAGTAAAACTAACCATTAAGTTGATGATGATAATGATTGGAAAAAAAAAATCAACGAACAAACGCGAAGACAGTCCAGCTCACCTGCACACACACAAGCAGCCCACAATCTACACAGTACAACTCACCTGCACACAGACAGGTAGCCCACAGTCCAGACAGTCCAACTCACCTGCACACAGACAGGAAGCCCACAATCCAGACAGTTCCATTCACCTGCACACAGACAGAAAGCCCACAATCCAGACAGTCCAACTCACCTGCACACAGACAGGAAGCCCACAATCCAGACAGTTCCATTCACCTGCACACAGACAGAAAGCCCACAATCCAGACAGTCCCAACTCACCTGCACGCAGACAGGCAGCCCACAATCCAGACAGTCCAATTCACCTGCACACAGACAGGCAGCCCACAATCCAGACAGTCCCAACTCACCTGCACACAGACAGGCAGCTCACAATTCAGACAGTCCAACTCACCTGCACACAGACAGGTAGCCCACAGTCCAGACAGTCCAACTCACCTGCACACAGACAGGCAGCCCACAACTCAGACAGTCCAACTCACCTGCACACAGACAGAAAGCCCACAACTCAGACAGTCCAACTCACCTGCACACAGACAGAAAGCCCACAACTCAGACAGTCCAACTCACCTGCACACAGACAGGCAGCCCACAATCCAGACAGTACAACTCAGCTGCACACAGACAGGCAGCCCACAATTCAGACAGTCCAACTCACCTGCACACAGACAGAAAGCCCACAACTCAGACAGTCCAACTCACCTGCACACAGACAGGCTGCCTACAATCCAGACAGTCCAAATCACCTGCACACAGACAGGTAGCCCACAATTCAGACAGTCCAACTCACCTGCACACAGAAAGGAAGCCCACAACTCAGACAGTCCAACTCACCTGCACACAGACAGGCAGCCCACAATCCAGACAGTCCAACTCACCTGCACACAGACAGGTAACCCGCAGTCCAGACAGTCCAACTCACCTGCACACAGACAGGCAGCCCACAATTCAGACAGTCCAACTCACCTGCACACAGACAGGTAGCCCACAATTCAGACAGTCCAACTCACCTGCACACAGACAGAAAGCCCACAACTCAGACAGTCCAACTCACCTGCACACAGACAGGCAGCCCACAATTCAGACAGTCCAACTCACCTGCACACAGACAGAAAGCCCACAACTCAGACAGTCTAACTCACCTGCACACAGACAGGCAGCCCACAACTCAGACAGTCCAACTCACCTGCACACAGAAAGGAAGCCCACAACTCAGACAGTCCAACTCACCTGCACACAGACAGAAAGCCCACAATCCAGACAGTCCAACTCACCTGCACACAGACAGGTAACCCGCAGTCCAGACAGTACAACTCACCTGCACACAGAAAGGAAGCCCACAACTCAGACAGTCCAACTCACCTGCACACAGACAGAAAGCCCACAATCCAGACAGTCCAACTCACCTGCACACAGACAGGTAACCCGCAGTCCAGACAGTACAACCCACCTGCACACAGACAGGTAACCCACAGTCCAGACAGTCCAACTCACCTGCACACAGACAGGCAGCCCACAGTCCAGACAGTCCCAACTCACCTGCACACAGACAGGAAGCCCACAGTCTAGACAGTCCAACTCACCTGCACACAGACAGGTAACCCACAGTCCAGACAGTACAACTTGACAACCTCCTCGACATGTTGGCTACACTTCGGGGAACTGTTTCTCCTCATGAGCTGCTCCAGCGACATCTGGCGGATTTCCGACATGGCCACAATCACGTGGTCTCTGGTGATTTTCCCGCACAAGTGAACCTGCGGAGGACCATCAAGTTGTGAGGGAATAGATGATGGCTTTGGATAGGACACTCCCCGTGTGAGCTCTGGGGCCCAATCTTGGGACCGAGGGGGAGAGAGGCCAAGAACAGACTCACTGTCGCCTAACAAGCATGTCGTAAAAAAGCGTCCTGTCAGAACTCTGTTTTGTACAATCATGTGGCGGTGTAGACCATAGAGACGGTGTACCGTGTGCAGGGGTAGAAACCCAGAGTTGACGCAGAGGTCAGCACGGTGAACCACACGACTGTCCAGGCATGTGCTGTTGTAAGTTAGAGAAAACTACAGCTCAGCGAGACCCATCGGTGGCTGTGATTATGTGATGAAAAGAGTTAACTCTCTTTCTGGCGGTTTCATGTCCTGCTTGTCGCATGACCCGACCTGAGCGAAATGACCCTGACAAAAGTCACGAGGTGGGAGGCAACCGGGAAACTAGATACAGGGGGATAACTATGTTAAATATAAATAAACGGGTGGAAGGGGGGGGGGGGGGTTATGTTAAAACAACAGTGGGTATAACTATGTTAAAAAAAAATAAACAGGGGTGATAAATATGTTCAAAATAAATAAACAGAGGGGATAAATTTGTTAACAATAAATAAACAGTGGAAATAACTATATTGACAAAAATAAACAGAGGGGTGAAATATGTTAAAAATAAATAAACAGAGGGGAAAAATTTGTTGAAAATAAAGAAACAGAGAGGATAAATATGATAAAAAAAAAAAAAAAACAGGGGGAATATACATATGTAAAAAAAAAAAATAAATAAACAGAGGGGATAAATATGTTTAAAATACATAAACAGGGGAGAAACAGGTTAAAAATAAATAAACAGGGGGAAGGGGGTGGGGTGTAAATATGTTAGAAAAAAAGAAACAGAGGGGATAAATATGTTAACAATAAATGAATAGGGGGGATAAATATGTTAAAAATTAATAAACAGAAGGGGTAAATATGTTAAAAATATATAAACAGGGGATAACTATGTTAAAATACATAAACAGGGGGAATAACTATGTTAAAATATAAACAGGGAAAATAACTATGTTAAAAAAATATACAGGGGGAATAACTATGTTAAAAATAAACAAACAGGGGGAATAACTATGTTAAAAAAATAAACAGTAGTGGAGTGGGGGTGGGGGAGGGGGAGGGTGGAAATAACAATGAAAAAAATAAATAATGGGGGGGGGGGGGACTAACTTTGTTAAAATATTAAAAAACCTGAGGGAGGGGGTGGGATAAATATGTTAAAAAATGAATCAACAATCTACTCAAACAATAGGCCACAGTCGGATAGAGTAGTACTTACTTTTGTACACTTCTCGCAAAGGGCCTCATAACACTCCATGCACCAGTCGGAGGCTAAAAATTGCATGTCTGCCCCGAGACAAATGTCACACTTCTTCTCTTCCCTGTAGAGAAACAACAACACATCGACAGAGTGACATCAAAACTATCATGTTAGCATCATCATCATTGTCATGTTAGTCGTATGGGAGTGGCAGCAACATCGTCATGTTAGTGGTGTTAGAGTGGCAGCAACATCATCATGTTAGTGGTGTGGGAGTGGCTGCAACATCATCATGTTAGTGGTGTGGGAGTGGCTGCAACATCATCATGTTAGTGGTGTGGGAGTGGCTGCAACATCATCATGTTAGTCGTGTGGGAGTGGCAGCAACATCGTCAGGTTAGTGGTGTGGGAGTGGCTGCAACATCGCCATGTTAGTGGTGTGGGAGTGGCTGCAACATCGCCATGTTAGTCGTGTGGAAGTGGCAGCAACATCGTCATGTTAGTGGTGTAGGAGTTGCAGCAACATCGTCATGTTAGTCGTGTGAGAGTGGCTGCAACATCATCATGTTAGTGGTGTGGGAGTGGCTGCAACATCATCATGTTAGTGGTGTGAGAGTGGCTGCAACATCTTCATATGAGTCGTGTGGGAGTGGCAGCAACATCATCATGTTAGTGGTGTGGGAGTTGCAGCAACATCGTCAATTAGTCGTGTGGGAGTGGCTGCAACATCATCATGTTAGTCGTGTGGGAGTGGCAGCAACATCGTCATGTTAGTCGTGTGGGAGTGGCTGCAACATCGCCATGTTAGTGGTGTGGGTGTGGCAGCAACATCATCAAGTTAGTCGTGTGGGAGTGGCATCAACATTGTCATGTTAGTCGTGTGGGAGTGACAGCAACATCGTTATGTTAGTGGTGTGGGAGTGGCATCAACATTGTCATGTTAGTCGTGTGGGAGTGGCTGCAACATCTTCATATTAGTCGTGTGGGTGTGGCAGCAACATCGTCATGTTAGTGGTGTGGGAGTGACAGCAACATTGTCATGTTAGTCGTGTGGGAGTGGCATCAACATCGTCATGTTAGTGGTGTGGGAGTGGTATCAACATTGTCATGTTAGTGGTGTGGGAGTGGCATCAACATCGTCATGTTAGTGGTGTGGGAGTGGCATCAACATCGTCATGTTAGTGGTGTGGGAGTGGCATCAACATCGTCATGTTAGTGGTGTGGGAGTGGCATCAACATCGTCATGTTAGTGGTGTGGGAGTGACGGCAACATTGTCATGTTAGTGGTGTGGGAGTGACGGCAACATTGTCATGTTAGTGGTGTGGGAGTGACAGCAACATCATCATGTTAGTGGTGTGGGAGTGACAGCAACATCGTCATGTTAGTGGTGTGGGAGTGGCAGCAACATCGTCATGTTAGTGGTGTGGGAGTGACAGCAACATCGTCATGTTAGTCGTGTGGGAGTGGCAGCAACATCGTCATGTTAGTGGTGTGGGTGTGGCAGCAACATTGTCATGTTAGTGGTGTGGGTGTGGCAGCAACATCGTCATGTTAGTGGTGTGGGAGTGACAGCAACATCATCATGTTAGTGGTGTGGGAGTGGCAGCAACATCACCATGTTAGCCGTGCGGGAGTGGCAGCAACATCATCATGTTAGTGGTGTGGGAGTGGCAGCAACATCATCATGTTAGTGGTGTTGGTGTGGCAGCAACATCATCATGTTAGTGGTGTGGGAGTGGCAGCAACATCATCCTGTTAGTGGTGTGGGAGTGGCAGCAACATCACCATGTTAGTGGTGTGGGAGTCTCTGGTTGGACTATTAAAGGCTGGGGAAGATCGTTCTTCTGTCTATGGACATTCCCCCGAACGCAATATCAGGGTTGTCACAGGACATGTCTTTCTTCATTCTGTTTGTCCGCTCCTGCTGCTACCCGAAGTTTTTAATCCCAAGGACGTCACAAATGTTGGCTTTGGATGGCAAGCCACAAAAAACTATCACCCCAAACACCTTGCTGAACCTTCAAGAAACTATCACCCCAGACACCTTGCTGAACCTTTAAGAAACTATCACCCCAAACACCTTACTGAACCTTCAAGAAACTATCACCCCAGACACCTTGCTGAACCTTCAAGAAACTATCACCCCAAACACGTTGCTGAACCTTCAAGAAACTATCACCCCAGACACCTTGCTGAACCTTCAAGAAACTATCACCCCAAACACCTTGCTGAACCTTCAAGAAACTATCACCCCAAACACCTTGCTGAACCTTCAAGAAACTATCACCCCAAACACCTTGCTGAACCTTCAAGAAACTATCACCACAGACACCTTGCTGAACCTTCAAGAAACTATCACCCCAGACACCTTGCTCAACCTTCAAGAAACTACCACCCCAGACACCTTGCTGAACCTTCAAGAAACTATCACCCCAAACACCTTGCTGAACCTTCAAGAAACTATCACCCCAAACACCTTGCTGAACCTTCAAGAAACTATCACCACAGACACCTTGCTGAACCTTCAAGAAACTATCACCCCAAACACCTTGCTGAACCTTCAAGAAACTATCACCCCAAACACCTTGCTGAACCTTCAAGAAACTATCACCCCGGACACCTTGCTGAACCTTCAAGAAACTATCACCCCAAACACCTTGCTGAACCTTCAAGAAACTATCACCCCAGACACCTTGCTGAACCTTCAACTAAGCGATCATCTAGGCAGTTGTGACTGCCCGCAGGTACGTGTGTATCTGGCTCTGTTGAGGCAGGGGCGTAGAGACAAATAAAAGAGTGGTCAAGGCCTCAGTCCCCTTATGAATGTTCTGAAGCCCTCAAGGGATCTACGCCTTTTTTCATCATCATCATTATCATCATCATCATGCTGAGCCGTCGAACGCAGTACAGGGCTGGCAGTGTACTTAACCACTCCGTGCTATCCTGTGGATTTATTTCAGTATCACGGATTGAATCCAGCACCAATGTCTTTTCGCATCAACCTACTTTTTATGTTTCTACTTGACTTCCTCGCGTCCTCAATGCATTTGTTTCTCATTTCATTGACTGTTTGCTGATTCCCAACCCGTTGCTCCTCAGGATGTGACAAATATAGCTCCATCCTCTGTAACTGTTGATACCAGCAGTCGTCGTGACATTTTTTTTTTTTTCTTCTCTTTAATTCCTCCCATTTAATGTTCATCAATTTCCGTAGTCTTGTTTTTGTCATTTAAAAAAAAAAAAATAATAATAATCTGCCTAACGACCCTCGAAAAACAATATTTCTGAGACAATAGGATACGCGGTAACTGTATTCAGTAGACTTGACAAGGGAGCCGAGAAGATGTGAACCAGATCTTACTTGAAGGCCTCTAGAACTTCAGAGAGCCTGGAGGCGAAGGTGTCCAACTTGCCTGCACCTGACAACTGACCACTGCTAGTGTCCTGAGGACAACTGATCGCCAGCGAGCACACTGGACAGGGGATTGACCGTTGACCACTCCGGGACGCCTGAGGATGAAGCAGTAATAACATGAGACCGATGTTGTGTTGTGTATCTAAGATCTGCTGTTACGTTTCTCTGTCTGCGTTCGACTTCTAAACAACTGGTTGGCATGTTGTTTTGTGGTCCACCGCTTAACTGCGATATCTGCACTTTCCTGCCCAGTACATCCGATTTCAGCAAAACCCTAGCTAGTCGAATTGTACAACGTGCTTTGTAACAGGCAATGCACCTAACACACCCCCCCCCCCCCCCCCCCCCCCCCCCCACCTCAAGCCTCCACTATTTATGTTTATGTCTATGTGGCGCTGGAATTTCTCACAGATTTGATGTGCTCACAATGCATAATTTTCCTTATTATGTTGTCTATCTTTAAACTATTCCTAATTTATTTTATTCTTTTATTTCATAAATCTTCTATACATTTGTCTTTTATTGTTCATTGTCTCTCTATCCCCCACCTTATACCATGTGTAGAATTTCACTGTTCCTAAGAGGCAAAGTTTTGTGTGTGTGCGTTGTGTGTGTGTGTGTTTGTGTGTGGGGTGGGGTCATCGATTTCAGAAATGAGACAGAGATGCAGACAGAGTGACGATGTAGGCAGATATACAAAGAATAGACAGAAAAAGCTAACGACAAAGAAACATGGACAAAAACGTAGTCAGTTGCGACACCGTTTCGAAGAAAAAAAAAAAAAATAGGGTAATCGTTGGTAATGATAATGATGATGATGATGATGACGATAATGATAGTGATCAAAGTGAGAATGATGATGGTGACTGCGATTATATTGATGACGATGACAAATGATAATCTTGAGGAAAATGACGATAACACCAACCTGTAGGGAGATATAATGTTGCAGACAGTCTGAGCAGAACGTATGGTAGCAGGCTAAAATTATGGGATGCCGGAGAGCTCCCTGACACAGGCGGCATGTACACAGGTCTGTGGTGATTGCCACCAGGTCATTACACCTGTGTCAAATGAGGTATTCTGACAGTTAGTTTGTGGCCAACCCAAGTGTCTGGACGATAACAAATTTGCTTACCTAAATATATGTCTATCACTCGATCACCCGATGAAGGTATTTATTCTGGTGTCTGTCGGTCCATGGGTTGTCCAACTTTATGTCTGTCAGTCTTTTTGTCTGTCTCTGATTGTCTGACTATCTACCCATAAATCGATCTGCGAATTCGTTTACTTGTGTGTCCATGGATCCATTAACCTTGTTTTTTTTTTTTTTTTTGTAATGTTAGTCATTTTATACATATATCACAGTCCACCCGTCAGCCCTCTGCCTACACACGCTATCTAGTTCCTTCCTTTGTTCGTTCTATCATTCCCTCTCTGTCCCTCTCGGCACTAGAACTCTTCAATGGCTGATGAAAATGGGAACATGGCTGCTATGGGAATTTCCCAAGTTCTGGTATGTCGGTTCCTAATTTAACTCAACTCCGCTCTCTGTTTTCGCCGCTTCACTGGCTATTTGAATATGATCTCATGACAGATTATAGCCACTTAAAAAAATGATCGTTTTTGATGTCCCTTAGACTGGCTAGGTTATTGGCGTATCCTTTACAGGACGTTGTAGAACCAACCCTAGCATTCCCTGGCT